CGCCGGGCGAAACTCGCCGAGGGCGAACACGTCGATCCCGAAGGCCCTCCATCCAGAGCGTCGCTCCCTCCACGCGTCGCAGAGGTGCTGGAGGCCGGGGATCTCAAGCGGGGCTGCATACGTCGCCGAAGACACTTGCCCCAAATTTGTTCCCCATCGTCCGCGCATTCGGCGTCTGCCTCTGTCGCGTCACTGCGGTGCTCGCGGAGCTCGAGAATTCCCGCGACACAGTCACTGGAACGGTTTTCGTACGTCGCGCGGTCACTGTACTGGACGCCGCCACTTGTACGATCGTCTGCAAGAGCGCGCACTGGGACCCCTCATGCCCGGCTGGCGGCTCTGAGTACGTGAAGCGAAAGGTCGGGCCCCGAGGCGAGGTGCCTCGGAGCGACGGCGCCCGTCGTCGCGCCCTCCACTGCAATACCTCGGGGGGGAGAGCACACAGTCCCACGCTCCCCACTGCATCCCCGCTCGGCACCAGCGACGCAATCGCCGGATGCCTGTTCTCTGCTGGTTTCTCCCAGGTCTCTCCAGACACAGCCCCGAGAAGCTCGGGGCCTTGCTCTGACACCGCAAATGTGGACGTCGCGTCGAAAAGATGTCTAACACTCGAAGCTACCCCCACGGGCGGGGCCACTGACAGGTTGGGGTCCGCGAGCTGCCTGGACACAGTCCACACGCATGCCCGGGATGGGTCGCAGAGTGGTTGTAGTAGATGTTGGTGGTGCTGCACTTGATGAAGTACTGGCTGCGCACGTTCCCGGTCGCGGGGCCTGGCGGATGGGCGGGTACAGCCCCGACGCATCCTGGAGCAGCGTCACCTGCCAAGGCGACGGGAAGGAAGTGCACGAAGGCGGACATGTTGAAACCGATTGGCCGAAGTCGAAGGCGCCAGAAGGTGGAAACCATTGCGGTCGACGCGAAACAAACCATGGCGGAAGTGGTGGGAGCAGGAGTGGCGGGGGTGAAAAGCGTAGTTTCCAATAGCGCGAAATAGAAGGCGGATGGTACAAGGCGCATATAAAGCGAGCACGGAAGCTTGGCCACCTTCCGTGCCCCACAGCAAAAAGGGCGTCGGCAAGGGGAGACCTTTACAGGGCAAAGAAGGCAAGAAGGGGGACGGACCTACCGTTCGAGAAAGAGGGTCAGGAGGAGAGGGAAGAATAAGGAGGAGGCCAAGGAGGGGAGAAGGACCAGGAGGGAAGTGAGAAGAGAAGGAAAGGGCAGGAGGAGGACCAGGATGGGAGGAGAAAGGAGGACCACGCGAGAGAAAAGGAGGCCTGGGATGAACACGAAGATGGAAAAAGGGCCGGGAGGATGCAGGAGGTCGAAGAGGGGAGGGGGCAAAAAGGAAGGAGAGAGTGGACAAGGTACGAGGAGGGAGGGACGGAGGTGAAGGAAGGAAGGAAGGAAGAAGGAGGAAGGGCCTCTTGTGGGCCCAGCGCGGCACGTCGGAAGCAACAATCCTACCAGCCCACACCGGCTGCTCGGCGAGATGGGTCAAGGTGGCCCGAGAGCGACAAGGCAGCACCGTCATCGTCCTCCTCCAGGTCGCCATACTCTTCGTACCCCTCACGATCGTCGTAACATTCATCACTATCTATGGTCGTCGCATCCATCGCCACCACTGCAATCGTGCTTACCACGGCAAAAACGTTGGCCATCAGCATGATCATCACCCCTGTCATCATCATCAGCGGCAGAACCATCATGATATTCCTCATGATGATCCCACCACTATCAGAATCACAAGCATAACCATCATCAGGCCCCTCGCCATCAGCATCGGCATCAGCATCATCAGCGCCATCATTATCAACATCAGGATCATCAGCATCCGCATCATTATCATCATCATGATCATGATCATAATACGCACCATCACCATCACCATCAGCAGCATCAGCACCATCGTCATCATCAGCAAGATCAGCATCAGCATCCCCATCCGAATCCTCCTCACCATCCCCATCCCCATCCCCATCCCAATTACCATCAGCAGCAGAAGCAGAATCAGCATCATCGTCCTCAGCCAGCATCATCAGCATCATCAACATCATCCGCATCATTACAATCATCGTCGGCATCTGCATCATCATCATCCTCATCGTCGTCACCACCGCTGTCGTAACTTCAACCAGCAGAACCATCCTATTTCAGAATCTTCATCATCATCATCGCCACCACCGCCGTCAACCCTATCAGCGTCATCAAAACCGCAATCGACCGTGTCGTCCTCCACACCATCCCCATCAGCATCAGCATCGTCATCATGATCACCATCACCATCATCATGACCTTCGCCAGTACCATCATCATAAACATCATCATCATCAACAAGAACACCAGCATCCTCAACACCATCCCCATCAGCATCCTCATCCCCATCGTCATCAACATGATTGCCATCGTTCACTGAAGCATCAGCATTGGCATTGACAACAATATCGTCAATATCAACAATTTCGTATCATGAACAATTCACCCGACTAGCCGTCATCATGACCGTCAGCATCGTAGCCGCGATCACCATGACCACCATCATCGTCACCACCACCATCGTCATCAGCATCATCATCAGCAGCATCATCAGCATCAGCAGCATTAGCAGCATCATCATCACCAGCATCATCAGAATCATCATCAACAGCATCGACGTCCTCATCGCCATCGCCGTCCTAGCGTCAAAAGGGCTCGTAGCAGAAAACGGCGTCGGGAAGGGAGGCAGGTGGATGTGACAGCAGTGATCTCCAACACACTTACCATCATCAGCCTCATCGTCGCCGTCATCCTCATCCCTCCTCCCCCCTCTACATCCCACGCGCTGCCGTGTTCGCTCTCGGGCGAGGTGGGGGGAGGAGAGAAGAGGGGAGGGACGAGAGAGACGAGGGGTCAGGGAGGAGGAAGGCTAAGGCGAAGCGGGCGTGAAGGAGGAGGCATGAGGAGGGGAAGGAGGAAGACACCAGGGAATGGAGGAAGTAGAAAGAGATGCGGAAGAACGTGGAAAACAAGCCTTGTCCGTCCTCCTCCTCCTCCGCCTCCACAAATACGAATCATTAAACATACTCTCTTCTCTACCCTGACTCCGTCCGGAAAATCTCGTCCCTTAATAATCGTCCCCCGGGTCCGGTTTATTAAGGTGCCTTTTGGGGAAGCAGGGGGGTCCGGTTTATTAAGGCGTTTCTTGAAGCCGACGTTCAGGGGGGTCAGGTTTATTAGGGCGCCTTTTGGGTATTAGCCCGCGGAGTACTAACCATCATCATCATCATCATCATCATCATCATCAGCATCATCATCATCGTCGTCATCGTCATCGTCATCATCATCATCATCATCATCATCATCATCATCATCATCATGTTCATCATCACCAACATCATCATCAGCATCATCATCATCAGCATCATCATCATCAAAAACATGTTCAACATCATCGTCATCATCCTCATCATCGGTCGTTATCACCATCATCACGATATGATGCGGCGGTGGCAATGATGGTACTATGGCGATGACGACTATCTCGGTGATGGTTTCCTCGTCGCACCCCAAGCGCGAACATCATCTTGCGCACTTAAGTGCCCCCCAGTTCTCCTTGAAGCCCGCCTTCAAGGCGAAGTGAGGGGCTGTTGTAGACGCACTGCAGGGTGGCACACCAGGATGGTGGCCCGTAGTACACACGTTGCAGGATGGTGGCCCATAGTCGTCGTCGTCGTCGTCGTCGTCGTCGTCGTCGTCGTCGTCGTCGTCGTCGTTGTCGTTGTCGTTGTCGTTGTCGTCGTCGTCGTCGTAGTCGTAGTCGTAGTTCTCGTATCGTCGTCGTCGTCGTCGTCGTCGTCGCGCTCGCAATTTTGCTGGGGGGGTCCGGAATATTATGGCGCCCTCTGCGGGAGGGGGTCCGGAAAATTATGTCGCGAAGGAAGGGGGGGTCCGGTTTTTTAGGGGGGGGTCGATTATTAAGGGATCCAGAGTACTGTTGTGTTGCACACTGGGTTTCAACAGTTTCGGTGTTTCTGTTGTTTGAAGTCCGACTGGTTTCGGTGGTTCAAAATGGTGTGCCCGCTGCAGCGTGGGTCATGTCGTTCCTCCTTCCTCATCCTTATCCATACTTGTCCTCATCATCCTCCTCCTCCCGCTCCTCCCTCTTCTGCCTGTCGCCTTCCTCACAATGCCTCTCCTCCTCCTCCTCCTCCTCCTCCTCCTCCTCCTCCTCCTCCTCCTCCCTACGCCTCCTACCCAATCTTCTCCTTATGAATAACTCGCCCCCGTCGCATCACCAGTCGCGTTCGTAGGCCAGGCTGGGCGATTCGCTCGAGACCTGCTCACAGCGGAGTATCCTGAAGCTGAGATAGACTCCAACAGTCACGAGGACGGAGGGCCCGTCGCTTCCAAAATGCGGCTCTAGCCTTACTGCAGAACACATCCGTGTAAAGATCCGACAAGTGCAAGAATGGAGAGACAGCCGTTTCCAACATCTCGCCTTAGCGGCGCGCACTTTCGTCTTAAGCACTTCCAACAGGCGCAAGATGGAAGCTGTTTCGTTTTCCAAATGCGGCTGTCGCATTACCGCCGCGCGCATGTGTTTCAGAAGGTTTCCAACAATTACAGCGATCGAGGCCACTTCGCTTTCAATGCGGCCGTTGCTTAAGACTTCCTCATCGGATTATCCAACGACTACACAATTGGAAGGCGGCTACTTCAAAATGGGTCTCTCTCTCTCTCTCTCTTGAGACTTGCGCTAAAAAATACGGAAGGATTGCTCTGCGAAGCTGTGCCACGTTTGCTTACATGTACGGCGGTCGGCAATCTTGCCGACACGGGGCTGCGGCGGGGTAATTCCTTGAACTTTCCCAGACATTCGACGTCCATTCATCCCGAATCGTTGTTTGGAGGTCCCGAGGCCCGGCGAGGGCCCCGAGAGGCCGAAAACTACGAAAAAACTCACTCTCGAGTTCTGCGAGACGCCAGATGTCTGGGTTGTGGAAGCCTACACCCTGCGAAATACTTAAGAAATCATGGGTTAAGAAATTCATAGTCTCAGAATTGAATACAAACCCAGAAGTTCTATCAAAATCTTAGGAATCGAATTGAAGCATTAAGAAAAAATCGAGACTCTGGCAGAAAACTTAAGTTTTCTTGAGCATCGCCTAAGGTGTACCTCTTTGCGTCTCTGCTGGCTCCCCCGAGTGGCGGGAGCACCAGGCCCTCGTGCTTCGATGGGGGAGCTGGGGTACCGAACGCCTTGCCATTGCTCGGACGTCCTGTCCCCCTGTAAGTTCCGATTCCGTGCGTGCTTGTTTCGACAATGATCCAAGATGCTCCTCAATTGGGGGAACGAACAACGACATAAACACGAAAACTCGGAGGTCCGCGCGGATTCCTCGGATCGGCGCTGACCCCCCAGAGCGCGCCAGGGGCGGCGCTGGAGGCGCCGCCAGAGGGGTCCAGCGCCGATCCAAGGAATCCGCGCGCACCTCCGAGTGTTTATGTTTATGTCATTGCACGTTCCCCCATCAATGGTCCTCGCCGAAAACATGCACACGCCCGAGAGATTCCGAGATGCTTGTGGGAAAGTATCATCCTTGGGGGAAAGGGACTTGGGACCCGAGGGTGTCTTGCAGCATCGCTGACACGCCCTAGATTTGCTCTGGTCCTCCTTCTTCTCCGCATCCCCCTCCCTCGGATGATCCTCCTCCTCCTCCTCCGGAGGGGGAGGGGGAGGGGGAGGAGGAGGAGGAGGAGGAGGAGGAGGAGGAGGAGGAGGAGGAGGAGGAGGAGGAGGAGGGCGAGGACGGCGAGGAGGAGGAGGACCAGAGTAATTTAGGGGGAGGAGGAGGAGGAGGAGGAGGAGGAGGAAGAGGAGGAGGAGGAGGAACAAAATTCGAGATCGAGCTGAACCTCGGGTGGTCGGCGCAGAGTTCTTGGATCGGCGCCGGACACCTCCCCTTCCGTCGTCTGGCTCTCGGCCCCCAACTCTCAGGCCGCCCGCAGCCGCTCGGGACGCTCTGGGCCCCCCCTAAAGAATGCTCTCGGCGAAGCACAGCTGCTGGAGGGCTCTCCGAGGTCGTTGCTAGAAGTGCCCCTGGCCCAAGGTGCCCCCAGGATTCTCAGGGTGGCCCAGGCGGCCTCCAGAGCACCCCTCACGAGGCCCAGAGGGCCCCAGGGGGCTCCAAAATTGAGCGAAAAGCTAGGGGCACCTTGGGCCAGGGGCACTTCTAGCAACACCCGATCCGAGGTTGAAGACGGCCGAGAACCCTCGGAAGCGTCCGAAACGTGGCACCGATCTTCCTGTCCACCTCCCCAGAACGAAGCCAGGACGGGGATAGAATCGGGTGCGGATGAATCGAGAATATCTAAGATCTGGCGGCTCTGGAGGTTGCATCGGGCGCCGCGGCCTTTTCAGAGCGCTCTGGAACGCTCTAAGAGTGTTCCAGAGCGCTACGGAACGGATCTTATCCTCCCAAACCCCCGACGCCACGATTTTCCCATGACGTCGACCCCCGAAGCTCTCGACCCATTCCCCGGGACCAGCTTCTCATCCTGAGTGGCTTTTGGACGGCCCCGATGCGAGGCGGGGATATATCCATATCCGCCGCCTGGGAACCGACATCCCGGTGCCCCAGCGGCGGTGGATTCGGTATATTCCGGGCCCCTGGGGGCCCGAAGACGTCCACATCCACCGCCTGCCGAGGCTCCGAAAACTGACCCTCCAAGCGGTGGTCATGTATAAATTCCCGCCTCGGACCCGAAGCACGGCAAGGGCACCCAGAAGCCGAACGTAGCGAGAAACCCTCCATCGCGATTGTTCAAGATTCGAGAGGAGGTCTGCGTCGTCCTGGCCCCGCCCGAATGCCCCATCCCCTCCCCTCGGGCGAGCAGGGGCGCGGCTCGCAGCAACCGCCGCCGCCGCCGCCATCGTCGTCGCCGCCGTCGCCGCCGCCGCCGTCGTCGTCGTCGTGGACCGATCGTCGTCGTCGTCGTCGCCGCCGTCGCCGTCGCCGTCGCCGTCGCCGTCGTCGTCGTCGTCGTCGTTGCCGTCGTCGTCGTCGTTGTCGCCGTCGTCGTGGACCGATCGTCGTCGTCGTCGTCGCCGTCGTCGTCGTCGTCGTCGCCTTAGCCGCCACCGTCGTCGTCGTCGTCATTGACCGATCGTCGTCGTTGCGTCGTCGTCGTCGTCGCCGTCGTAGCCGCCGCCGTCGTCGCCGTCGTCGTAGACCGATCGTCGTCGTTGCGTCGTCGTCATCGTCGACCGATCGTCGTTGTCGAAATCGTCGCTCGTCGCACGTGGCATCTGGTCTCCCCCCCTCGAGCGAGCAGAGGCGCGAGGCAGGATCGGAGCGCACCGCGGCGGCCGCCCGCCCGGCTTAAAGCGGCAGTGCCAGGGCGGGGAGGCCGACGCCTGGGGGCCATGCCCCACCTCCTTTTCCTCCTCCTCCTCCTCCTCCTCCTCCTCCTCCTGCTCTTCCTTCTCCTGCTCCTCCTCCTCCTCCTCCTCCTCCTGCTCCTCCTGCTCCTGTTCCTGCTCCTCCTCCTCCTCCTCCGCCTCCTCCTCCTCCCCATCCTCCTCCTCCCCATCCTCCTCCTGCTCCTCCTCCTTCTGCTCCTCCTCCGCCTCCTCATCCTCCTCATCATCATCCTCTTCCTCCTACTCCTTCTCCTCCTCCTTCTCCTCCTCCTCCTCCTCCTCATCCTTCTCCTCCTCCTCCTCCTCCTCCTCCTCGTCCTCCTCATCCTCCTCCTCCTCCTCCTGCTCCTCCTCCTCCTGCTCCTCCTCCTCCTCCTCCTCCTCCTCCGCCTTCCGTCGTCGTCATCATCGAGCCGTCGCGGCAGCCAACAGTGCTTAAACAGCACTGGTTCGAACTGCACACCGTGAGAAAATCCATATCGCACGACATCATCGTCAGTGGATTGTGCAATGGTACATCCTCCATTCGTAACCTTTTCCCAGCCTTCGTGTAACGGAGTTTCACGTGCCTTTAGTTTTCCATATAGTCCATATGCCGAGTGTGATTCGTACATGCTCTGCCGATTAGTTTCGAAAGAATGTGGCAAATTATGGCACTTGCTTTGAAACTCCCGCACAGATGCGAACGGGCACCTCATATGCCGCGACCAGCAGTTCTGGGAACGTGCTGTTCCTGCTGTACCGACACAATTGTGCTGATATCAGACATCTTCAATGTCTTGGAGCTTGAGCTATTGGCCCCAGAGTTTCGAGTGAGGTCTGCTGCGGCCTGTCAGACTTGTTGCTCGACATGGAGACGTGACCTTCCCCTCCATCGCATTAAACCCACAGGCATGATTATGATGCAGAGTTATCGTGGGGAGTCCTGCACTGCTGCTGATCAACTCTCTGGTTGCGGAAAGCGCCGTGCTGTCGGCAGGACAGGGTGAACTTGTTGGTACTCCCTCCGCATCAGTGTGATGCAACTTGTGCTCCTTCCAGAATGCGCGCTGCAGGTGGTGATGCGTTGCTCCGCCAATCCATCAGCTCATTCCTCGCGCTCCATTCGCAAGCCTTGTCTACTTCTGGACTGGATCTGACTCGAGCTGCAGTGCACGGCTGGGTTGGAACTGGTTTCCTCTACCTTGGCTTTGCTTCCCGCTGACGGTCGAAGCGATACCGTCATCAGGGTGGGGTCCTCTACGGGTAGCTGGAACACGGCTTCGGGCGGGCGCGTCGAGAACACTCTGATGCGAATCGGCTGCGTTACAGAATGGCGCGGCAAAGCTCGGCTGACAACCAGACTTTCCACTGCCTCTGTGTCGGCAGTGCTGAACAGATGCGAATGTTGGAAACGATGCGCATCAGATCCTTGCCATGCAACGCCAACGGCGGCCTTTCGTTCGAGCTGTAACGGTCCAACGGACGTGCTCCACAACGACAGGCCACAAAAAGCAGGCTGTCTGAATCCGCCAGCTCCTTTGCCAATGGTTTGCCTCGAACCCGGAAGTATTCCCTTCGAGAGGTATGTGATGTCCCATCGACCCAGAAGGAGGGTGACAAATGGAAGTTCGAGTGGTGGTGTACCGAAACATTTGCTCACGTGCACGTTGCTTGGTAACGCGCGGTGGCGTCGATATGTGGACCGATCGATACGTACCGCCTCTCTCACCGGCCACTCTTTATTTTGCTTCTCGGGTCGTGAGGGTCCTGCGTTGACTGGGACAGGCTTGAGCACGCATGGGGTGTAGAGTGCGGACCGATTGCAGCGGCTCGCCTCCTTGATTCGGATCCACTCCGCCAGCAGCGTGCGACCATGCGGATAGATGCCGCCCTCCAGGAACGCGGTCTCCCTCCCATCTGTGGCAAATCACTTCCAGTGCACCTTCCAGCCAAGACTCCCGTAGTGCGACTTTGCCTGAATGAGCATACTTACCTTTCTGGACGCAATTTTGCAGAGCAAGGGTGGTTGCACAAGCACCTTTCTGTGCGCACGGGCAGCCAGCGTACGTGTCTGGATGTTGTAGATTCTCCCCAGCTGTCCAAACATGTTGAATTGGCTGCTTGAAGAATGTCCCCAAGGTCTAGAAGCATGCCTTGGAGATGGTGTTTGATGCTTCGGCGATAACCCAGGTTATCCGAGGAGGGAGTCCGGGGTCAGATGCCGGCAGATAACCTAACCTTCTCGTTTTGGGCAGCCCCACGCATTCCCGCGCGAACCAGCACTGCCCCCCCAGTTCGGGCCTGTGAAACTGACAAAGTCAAAGCATCCTGGGGGTGGAAGGGGGGTCGGCGGGCCCGGGAACCCAGGTTATCTCCAGACCCTTCCAGTCAACCCGTAGAACAAGGACGCACGAGAGGGATGCGAGGGCCTTGGAAAGCCACGTCGACACTGTGCGAGCGGGGCGCGGCCAGCGAAAGCGGGCAAGGATGGGCCGAAGGGAAAGGATGCAAGGGCAGCCTTGGAAAGTGGCTTAGCCTTGCTAGGCGGGCTGACTGTAAAACACACTCTCAAGCAAGGCAGATACACCCAACATGTGCGACTGAGGTGTGACATCCCGGTTAGGCCAAATATGGACTCAATGGCATCGGACGCTCGGAATGCCATCTTCGGACTCGTTCATCCGTGGTGTGGCCGAGGTGAGGTGTGGTCCCTCAGCTAGCTCCTCCTCCTCCTCCCCCTCCTCCTCCCCCTCCTCCTCCTCCTCCTCCTCCTCCTCCATCCTCCTCCTCCTCCATCCTCCTCCTCCGCCATCCTCCTCCTCCATCCTTGTCCGCCTCCCCCTCGTCCCCCTCCTCCTCCCCCTCCTCCGTGTCGCGCGTGGCCAACATCGGTCCGCAGAGCTCGCTCTTGCAGCAAGAGGAGGCAGATGATTGTGCCCGCGGGCGCAACGCAAGACCGGCCGGGCCCGGGGGCGGGGGCGCCCCCGCCGGCCTCCCGCCCGAGGCGGCTCAGGGAGAGGACGAGGACGACGACGAGGAGCGGCAGTGCGCAGGAAGGCTTACACCACGCGAAATGGTTAAGAAATCATGGGTTAAGAAATTCATAGTCTCAGAACTTGGATAAAAAAAACCCAACATTTCTGTTAAAATCTTAGGATTTGCATTGAAACATTAAGAATAATCGAGACTCTGGCCGAAACTTTAAGTTTTCTTAAGCATCGCCTAAGGTGTACGGTGGGGGCAGACAGGGACCCTTAGATAAGGACTCCAGGGTCCGGAAGCCGGTGGATCTCCACTCGTGACTCGGCCATGGACATCAACGCCGCCCTCGTCAGGCGAGGAGTCCTCGAGGGTCTGCAGCCTCCTGGGCACGCTCCTGAACGAACGCCCCCACCGTCGCGCGAAGGAAACGGGTCCTGCAAGGAACTGGTCCTGGAATTGTTCCACCGCGTCTGCGCACCGTCCCGTATTCGGCTAAACGCTAGAGTGACCCTAGGCAAGAGTGACATTTGGTGCGCGGCTTTAGGGGGGCGCGAGGGAGCCGAAATCAGGCACGGAAGCCGCTGCAATCGCGATCCCGGGGTCCCCGTGGGCCCACACCAAAGGTCACTCCGGCGAAGGGTCACTCTTACTGTGGGCACGCAAAGGTGCCGATACTGCTGCCGTACTCCACGGCCCTCTCCTGAGCGCGTTCTGACCAGACTTCCGCGGCGAATCCAGCGGTGGCGACGAGGGTCTCCCTGGAGGCCCAAAAAAGGGGAAAACGGGAGGGGGAAGCGGTTTGGGTACCTCCTCCGAAATCTTACGCGTAGTCGACGAATTAGATCGCAGTCGGAATCGCGGCCCCATCCGGAGGAGGAGAATGAAGGAGAGAGAGAGAGAGAGAGAAAGCGCCGAGGGCAAAATGGCTATGCGCGCAGAAGGTTCTGTCCGCGGATCTCTCCACTCTGCCGCTGGGCGACGCGGGGGCATGGGCGGGGGGGGCGAGGAGCGGGGGGGGGAGAGAGAGAGAGAGAGAGAGAGAGAAAAAAAAAAAAAAAAAAAAAAAAAAAAAAAGAGAGAGAGAGAGAGAACAACAACAAAAAAGAGAAAGAGAAAGAGAAAGAGAGGAAAAGAGAGAGAGAGAGGGGGACAGAGAGAAAGAGAGAGAGAGGGGAAGAAAAAAAGAGACAGAGAGAGAGAGAGAAAGAGAGAGAGAGAGAGAAAGAGACGGGGGGAAAGAGAGAGAGAGAGAGAACAGCAATCGGAAGAGGACGCCCACGATAGCCTCCGGACGGCCGCAGGCGCTCCCAAGACGCCCAAGATAGCCTCCGACGGCCGCAGGGCTCCAGGAGGCAGAAACCATAGCTTCCCCTTCAGATTTTGAATGATTTTGGCGTTCTCATCTGTTCGGTTTCCCGACGCTCGAAGACGGCCCAAAAGGCCCCTAATACCGCCCCATGACGGCCCAAGAGGCCTCCAAGAGAGCCCCAAGAGGGCCCAAGAGGCTGGCCTCTTCGCCACACCTGGCTGGGTGGAACAACGCTCGTGGTGCAAGTTGGAGGGCCTCTGGCCTCGACGGGTCAGTCCAAAGTTCCGCTGGAAACCAAGCAGGGGGATCATCACCGAGGAGGAGGAGCAGGAGGAGGCGGAGGAGGCAGAGGAGAAGGAGGGGGAGGAGGAGGAAGAGGACGAGCAGGAGGAGAGGGAGGAGGAGGAGCAGGAGCAGGAGCAGCGGCCACAGAGGGCAGAAGGAGCAAGGAAAAACGGAGAGGGGGAGGAGCTTCGCGGGAGGAGGGAGGAAGTATGAGACTGGGGAGCAGAGACGAAACATGTCGTCCGCCGACCGGCGCTTCATCAGCGAAGGTGACAAGGCGTGTGAGACAGTTGGCTGTGACCCGCCCCCTCCTTCCCCTTCCCTCGGGGGCGCGCAAGCACGGATTAGCGATCCATGGATTTGGCGCGCGGTCGCCAGATCCATGGATCGGGGGAGGTGCCCTCTCCCAAAATGCAGCCGGGGCCGCCTCGCTCGGCGGCGGAAATCCGCGATTTCCCATGGAAACGGGACCCGTCGCTAATCCACGCACCCTTGATCCATGTTTGCGATCATCTGATTCCCCTGGGGAACAAAATCCCACCAGAAAAAACGGGACCCCCCCCCCTGGGGTCGGGGCACGAGCTCGTCAGCGCACAGCTGTCGGTGGTGGACAAATCTCCCTTTGATAAACCACCCTTTTAATGAAAACGGCCTGGGACCGAAACTGACGGACCTGGACCCGCAAAAATGACGGCCGCGACGCCGTCTCGCGAACCAAGAACGGCCAATCCGCTAATCGACGTGTCAGGGTAGGAGGTCCATCAACCTCCGAGCTTAGCGAAGGTGAAAAGGCGTGTGAGACACTGGGCTGTGACCCACCCTCTCCTGCCCCTTCCCTCGGCGGCACAAAATCGCACCAGAAAAAGGGGGAGGGGGAGGAGGAGGAGGAGGAGGAGGAGGAGGAGGAGGAGGAGGAGGAGCAGGCGGAAGAGGAGGAAAGGAGGGAGGAGGAAGGAGGGGAGAGGGGAGGGAGGAGGAGGAGGAGGAGGAGGCCCTCCGGGGGTCGGGGCACGAGATCGCCAACGCACCAACGCGGGCCGCCCTCGAGAGGGCTGCCCACGAGGGGCCGAGGAGGGCCAAAGAGGGAGAGCTCGCAAGGATCCCTCCGGTCCTCCTTCCCAGGGGGGGGGGTCCCAGGGGGGGAGTCCTTTTCCTCCGCCCTCTCCTCCTCCTCCTCCTCCTCCATCCTCCTTCCCCCTCCTCATCTCCGCCTCCTCCTTCCTCCTCCTCCTCCTCCTCCTCCTCCTCCTTCCTCCCCCTCCTCCTCTCCTCCTCCTCCTCCTCCTCCTCCTCCTCCTCCTTCCTCCTCCTCCTCCTCCTCCTTCTCCTCCTCCTTCTGCTCCTCCTCCCCCTCCTGGCCGTCGTCGACGTCTTTCAGGGTCGGCGGCACCGGCCGTCAGGCCCGCACAGTCCCCCCTGGGGGTCGGGGCACGAGCCCGCCAACGCACCTCTGGGGGGCCGGCGGCCAACGCGGGAGGGAGGGATCCAACACCACACCACACAACATCCACACCACCAGCACCACACAGCCACGAAGAGGGCTCCAGAGGCCCCCACAGGTGCCCCCAGGAGGCCTCCAAGTGGCCCTGAGAAGCCCCCAGGACCGACCACAAGGAACCGAGAGGCCGCTCCCTGGGCCTTCAGTAGGCCCCAAGAAGTCACAAGAGACCACACAAGGCTCCCAGGAGGCCTCCAAGTGGCCCCAAGAAGCCCCCAGGACCGACCACAAGGCACCGAGAGGCCGCTCCCTGGGCCTCCAAGAGGCGCCCAAGAAGCCCCAGGCAGCAGACGCGTTGGAAGAGGAGGAGGAGGAGGAGCAGGACGGAGGAGGAGGAGGAGGAGGAGGAGGAGGAGGAGGAGGAGGAGGAGAAGGAGGACGAGGAGGAGGGGGACGCGTCAGCAACAACTACACGCAGGCGGCACGACGGGAGGCGGCGAACAACACATACGAAATCAGGAGCCGCCCGTCTCCTCTGACTGGGGTCGAGGACTTGGCGTGAGGCTCTTGCCTAAACAGGGAAGGAAACAAAAAAAGTAGGGAGTGGCCACAGAGTACCTGTCCCCCTCCGAGTGATTATCCTCCTCCTGTCCTCCTAATCCTCCAACTCCTCCTCCTCCTCCTCCTCCTCCTCCTCCTCCTCCTCCTCCTCCTCATCATCATCATCAGCAGCAGCATCAGCATCATCATGATCATCATCATCGTCAGCATCAGCATCAGCATCATCATCATCAGCATCATCATCATCATCAGCATCAGCATCAGCATCAGCATCAGCATCAGCATCAGCATCATCATCATCATCATCATCATCATCATCATCATCATCATCATCATCATCATGAGCATCATCAGCAGCAGCATCATCACCACCACCACCATCATCATCATTTTCATCATCATCATGATCATCATCATCATCATCATCATCATCATCATCATCATCATCATCATCATCATCATCGTCAGCATCAGCATCAGCATCAGCATCAGCATCTTGTTTCTCCACCTCATGATCAACTACGTCTTCATCATCATCAGCATCATCATCATCGTCATCGCCATCGTCATCGTCATCGTTATCATCGTCGGCAGCATCACCATCATCAGGAGCATCATCAGCATCAGCATCAGCATCAGCATCATCATCAGCATCACCATCATCATTATTATCATCATCAGCATCATCAGCAGCAGCATCAAGATCGAAGTCGTCATCATCATCACCATTATCAGCATCCGCAGCATCAGCATCAGCATCATCAGCATCATCATCGTCATCATCGTCATCATCAGCATCGTCATCATCATCAACAACAGCATCAGTATCATCATCAACACCGGCATCATCCTCATCATCATCGTCGTCAGCACCATCATCGTCATCAGCATCATAGTCATCAGAATCGGCATCATCATCATCATAATCGTCGTCACTAACATCAGCATCATCGTCAGAATCGTCGTCACCATCATCAGCAGCATCATCAGCAGCATCATCGTCATGCACACCATCATCATCATCATCATCATCATCATCATCATCATCATCAGCAGCAGCATCAGCATCAGCATCATCATCCGCATCAGTATCATCATCATCATCATCATCATCATCATCATCATCATCATCATCATCATCGTCATCGTCATCGTCATCGTCATTATCATCATCAGCATCATCGTCAGCATCATGATTATCAGCATCAGCATCAGCACCATCATCAGCATCATCATCAGCGTCATCGGTACCAGTCTCACCACAAAAACCACAAGCACCAGCATCGTGATCGTAATGGTCAACATCACCATCATCAACAACAGCATCAATATCATCATCAGCATCGGCATCATCATCGTGATCAGTAGCAGCAGCAGCATTATCATCATCAGCAGCAGCGTCAGCAGTATCATGATCATCATGGTCAGCAGCAGCATCGTCAGCATTATCATCCTTAGCATTATCATTAGCATCATAATCATCGTCGTCGTTATCGCCCTCCTCGACATTATCATCAGCATTACCATCATCATTACCAACAGTATTATCATCATCATCATAAACATCATCATCAGCATAATCATCATCATCATCATCATTCTCATCATCATGATCATCATCAGCAGCATCATTATCACCAGCATCATCATTATCAGCACCATCCTCATCATCATCGTCAGCAGCATCAGCATCAGCATCATCATGAGCAGCCGTATCGTCGTCAGCAGCGACATCATCATGAGCAGCCGTATCACCATGAGCAGCCATATCATCATGAGCAGCGGTATCTAGACGTTCATAATCATCTCCATCATCATCAGCACCATCATCATCATCAGCAGCAGCATCACCGCCATCATCCTCATCCTCATCCTCATCTTCGTCAGCATCATCCTCATCCTCATCCTCATCCTCATCCACATCATCATGATCGTCATCATCATCAGCAGCATCATCTGCATCTGCATCATCATCATCATCATCATCATCATCATCATCATCATCATCATCATCATCATCAGCATCATCATCATCATCATCATGGCCATCATCATCGGCAGCATCATCGTCATCATCAGCAGCAGCATCTCCCTGTCTAAATCCTCCTCCCTCCTCTTCCTCCCTCCTCCTCCCTCCTCCCTCTCCTCGTCCAACTCCTCTCATGCTCCTCCTCCCACCCTGTTCCTGCTCACTCTCCACCTTCTCATCGTCGAACTCATCTGCCTCGTCTACCTACTTTCTTCCTCCTCCTCCTCCTCATCTTCATCCCCATCCTAATCACTATCACCATCACCATCATCATCATCATCATCATCATCATCATCATCATCATCATCATCAGCATAGTCATCATCATCATCATCACCATCATCATCGCCACCATCATAATCATCATCATCAGCATCATCATCATCACCATCACCATCACCATCACCATCACCATCACCATCACCATCACAATCATCATCACCATCACCATCACCATCACCATCACCATCACCATCACCATCACCATCATCATCAGCATCAGCATCAGCATCATCATGATCATCATCATCATCATCATCATCATCATCATCATCATCATCAGCATCATCATCATCATCATCAGCATCATCATCATCATCATCATCATCATCATCATCATCATCATCATCATCATCATCATCATCATCATCATCATCATCATCATCATCCTTCTCCTCATGCCCCTCCTCCTCCCCCACCTCCTTCTCCTCCTCTTCCTCCTCCTCCCCCTCCTCCTCCTCCTCCTCCTCCATCCCACTCTCCCTCCAACCTCACATTAGACTGACGGCGCGGGGGACAGTCGGCACAGCCGTCGGGCCCCGCCAGGCGAGCTCAGCTCGCCGAGCCTCTCGACGCTCTGGAGAAATGGTACGGGAGGGCGCCAGCTGCCAGCTGCACGCAGGAGCGACCCATGGGCAGGAGTGGCCCCTGGTGCGCGGCTTCTGGGGGCCGCGGGGGGCGGGGAGGCAGGTACAAGCGCTCAGGCCAACCCAAATATCCGACGTCTCGATGTTTTCGTGACACGGGCCCCCGACCTCCCGACCACCTCCCCGGAACCAGCTTTTCACTCCGAGTCGTTTTTGGGGACCGGTCTCGAGGCCCGGCGAGGGCCCCGAGAGGCCGAAAACTGATGAAAAAAACCTCTCTCGATTTTTTCGAGACGCCCGATGTCTGGGATTTGGTCGGGCCTGTCCCCCTACAGGGGGAGTTTGGACGAACAAAGAAAAAGGAGTCCAAAAGATACACCAAACATGTTCAAAAATGATAACAGACAAATGCAATGAACAAACAAAAAACCAAAAAAAAAAAAAAAAAAAAAAAAAAAAAAAAAAAAAAAAAAAAAAAAAAAAAAAAAAAAAAAAAAAAAAAAAAAAAAAAAAAAAAAAAAAAAAAAAAAAAAAAAAAAAAAAAAAAAAAAAAAAAAAAAAAAAAAAAAAAAAAAAAAAAAAAAAAAAAAAAAAAAAAAAAAAAAAAAAAAAAAAAAAAAAAAAAGTCCCCGGACAATTGTTTGACTATTTTTGAATATGCTCCTACTGTAGGGGGACAGGCCCCGCTGAAGTCCGGGAATGCCGGGGGAGGGCGGAGACCCCCGTGGGCCCGCACCAGAGGCCGCTCCGGCGAAGGGCCCCTCGCGCGCACGCCGCCGAGGCCGCACGCCCAGACGCGCCGGTCCCGGCCGGGCCCGCCTCCTGCGCAGCGGGGATCGGTGCACACGCCCTCCCCGGGGGCGCCTCGAAGACGTCGAGCCGGAGGTTTCTCGGCGTTTTCGACCTCTCGGGGCCCTCGCCGGGCCTCGGGACCGTCAAAAAACAACTCGGGATGCAAAAACCGGTCCCGGGGAGGTGGTCGGAGGTCGGGGGCCCCCGTCTCGAAAAAGTCGAGGCGTCGGATCTCTGGGGATCGGTGCACACGCCCTACGGGCGGGGAAGGGCAGGCTCAGATCGGGTGTGTCCTCCTACACGCTGAGTTTTGGCGAAACCTCAACTCTGGTCAAGGCATGCTCGAAGAATTCGTAAAAGCAGACACAACATCGTCCCCAGACTAGGTGTGTTTTCACCGTGTTCGAGTGTTCCTCCTGCAGAGGGACAGGCCCGACTGAAGCGTGTGCCCGCGCCGATCCTGTGACCAAGAACAAACACATCCCCGACCCAAAAATCGCGGATTCACAGAGGACTCGAAGATCGGCCCAAGATCTCGGGGGACTTTTCTGCGCTCGTCCTTGTCACCCTGGTGACACCCTGAGCCCCGAAATCTTCCCCCCCCGAAGCCTCGAGGAGCCTGCGCTCTGTCTCGGCCCTCGCGTCTTTGGGATCGGGCGTCTCCTTTGGGTCTGTGCTCCTGGGCCCGGGACCCAGACATCCGGCGTCTCGATTTTTTCGAGACACGGGCCCCGACCTCCCGACCGCTTCGCCGGGACCAGTTATTCGTCCCGAGTCGTTTTTTGACGGTCCCGAGGCCCGGCGAGAGGCCCCGAAAGGCCGAAAACGACAAAAAACTTCCGTCTCGATTTTTTCGAGACGCCCGATGTCTGGGGATCGGCACGGCCAGGGCCGACGTGCGGGCGCGTGTGCGGCAGGCTCCCGCCGCCGACGGCACCCCGCTCTGGGCCGCGCGGCCTCTCGGAGGGCCGCGCAGACCTCCCTCCTTCGCGCACGCTCGGGTTCCGCGGCGCGGGCTGCCGTCTTCTGTGCTCCGCGGGGCCCGAGGAGGAGCCCAGGGGTCGTCCAGAGCCCCGAGCGCGCTGCTCGAAGCGCCTAGCGTCGCCACCGCGCCGGAGCGGCGAGAGCCCGCTGCAGCTGGCGCCCCCTGCTATGGCAAGCGCCAGGCCGGGCGCTGCTGCCGGTGCCGGCGCGGGCCCCCTGGCTTAAAGGCGGCCGCGGCCGTGCCAGGAGGCGGGGAGGCCGGCACCGAGCAGCACGCACCCTCGGCACGCGCGGGCGCGCCCGCTGCCAGGCTACGACCCCAGACCCCCGACGTCGTGATTTTTTCATGACGTCGACCCCCAGAGGTCTGGACCCTTTCCCCGGGACCGGTTTTTCAACCTGAGTCGTTTTTTGACGCTCCCGCGGCCCGGTGAGGACCTCCGGAGGGCGAAAATAGCGAAAAACCTTCCGTCGTGATTTTTTCACGACGCGAGGGGGTCTGGGACTGCCCCAGGGGCGGGGGCGGAGCTGCCCCAGGGGCGAGCCCGTTCGGCTGCCGAACGGGCCAGCTTCCCACCGCCCTGCCGGAGCCGAGCCCGTGCGGCGGCCCGCCCGGCGGGCGAGCGGGCTAGGACGCCGAGCGGCCTCGAGAAGGGAGCCCTGGGGCGGCAAGCCTCGGGAGGTCTCCCAGAGCCGCTCTGGGGGCCAGGGGCCCTCAAATGAGGCCTCAGGATGAGCAGCCGGAGGAGGAGGATCGAGGAGGAGGAGGAGGAGGAGGAGGAGGAGGAGGAGAAGGAGGGGAAGAGAGGAGGAAGGAGGGGGAGGAGGAGGAGGAGAGGAGAGGAGGAGGAGGGGAGGAGAAGGAGGGGGAAGAGGAGGAGGAGAAGGAGGAGGAGGAAGGAGGGGGAGGAGGAGGAGGAGAAGGAGGGGGAGGAGGAGGTGGAGGAGGAGGAGGAGGAGGAGGAGGAGGAGCGGTGGTCCTCACACCCCTGGGGGCCCCATCGTGTCGACCATCCCGCGGGAGTGGCTTCGAGGCCCATGGGTCCCCGAGTGTGGCAGGGACCACGGCCCCCCGCGTTGTGGCTGGTCTGCCCGGGGCGTCCGCGGTCCAGGACTCGGCTCCTTCAGGATCCCCCATTTGGGGCTTCTGGCAGCTCTGCTTGCTGTGGGAGAACGATGGAGGGTAGAAAGAGGATGTCTTGCCAATTCCCGGACATCGGGCTTCTCGAAAATATCGAAACGAAGGTGTTTCGTAGTTTTCGACCTCTCGGGGTCGTCGCTGGGCCTCGGGACCGTCAAAAAACTGCCCGGGATGAAAAACTGGTCCCAGGGAAGTGGTCGGGAGGTCGGGGGCCCGTGTCTCGAAGAAATCGAGACGTCGGATGTTTGGGATCTGGACCTCAAACAGTGAATTGGTGCACCATGGATGTGTAATATGTATGATAGGCGATATGTGGCGTTGCATTTCCGTGTATATCTACATCTAGAAATACATACCTATACACATGAACATTTACATGGCCCCAAAACAGTGATTGCTCGTACGGGTGCTTACCTTGTTCCATAAAACTGGGCCTGATGTTCGGTTTTGCGGCTATGTTGTCGCCGTCGCCGCATCGTGGCCGCCTCGTCACGGCCTTCCGCAATTGCGCCATAGAGACTGTATTACATGAAATGTCATTCCTAAACAAAATCCGATCCCCCCCCCCGATTTAACCGCCCCCTTTTGTTGCATTGCAGTTTATATGCGATGGTGCCCCCATCGTACATCATGCATATGAACCATATCATCCCAGCCAAGCCAATGTCGACACCCCCCTTTCGTCCTCTAAAAAACTATGCGGGCACACTCGCTTTATCAAGAATCCGCATTTTTCAAACATCCTTTCAAACGCGAAACGAAGTACACGCGCGCGCGTCGTCGCGCGCTGGTGCCAAGATTTCTCTATTACCTTAGAACCCGTCGAGAGTTCAAAATCGAGTGCCCCGAGAACATAAAAAAAAGGTTTCGCAACAAGGATGCAGCTGGCGCTCGCGCTCTTGTAACTCATTCAGGAAACCGTCGGCTGTTCAACATTGTCGTAGCATGCTACCAAACGGGCCCTTCGCGCACGGATGTCCAAATCGCTCGAACGCGTTTGCGCGCGCTCTGTCACAGGAATCCCTTTCAAAAAAACGAAACGAAGTGCACACGAGAGCGTCGTCGCGCGCGCATGCCGGAATCCTGCCGAACCCCCAACTTTCGCAAGGACGTGAACATCGAGTGTCCCGACAACAGAATGAAGCACATGTTTTTTGCAACATCGCTTGTCAAAAGAACCTGCGCGTGCGCTCTTGCGAATTCTAAAAAAAAACGAGGTGTTTCAACGTTGCCACCAAAATCTACAAAACGGGCCTCTCGCGCCGCATGTCGAACTCATCCGAACGCCCTTGCGCGCGAGATGGGGGGCGCGGTCCGTGTCAATAAATACCACGCGGGCCACTCGCGCGCGTCGGCCGCGCGCGCACGACGATCTCTTTCCGAAACCTTCATCACCGACGCGGGGACATCGTCATCGTTATGGGCGGGCGTGATCAACATCCGCGGCGTCACAGGCCGTACCGTCGTCATTGTCATTATCATCACAAGCGTCGGGACTATCACAGTGTCCACGGTTGTCGACGTTGCCATGATACCACGCCCGCCCAAGTGGCCGACTCGCATTGAAGCGTCCGGTGGGAAGTGCCCAGAGGTCAACGCCACCGCGGCCGAGTCGGTCGCGCCAAACTAGCTGGCCGCTGCGCGCGCGAAAACGCGCGGGTTGGAGCGTCCGCAGAGGTGCACCAGCCAACACCAAGCACTCATCGCGATCGACGCCGCGTGCGTTTTGCAAAACAAATTGCGGGTGGGTGGGTGGGATGATTGCGCGGGAAGTGGAGTTGACAACTGCGAGTTCCACAAATGAACTGCACAATACAGATTGCGCCGCATATATTGCAACTAGAACCACGCGCGCGCTTCGCGCGCGCTTAGGTTGTGTCGAGTCACAGACCCAGGAATCGTTGTGAGAAGAAATTGGTGACGCGAAGCGTCGTGGGGGCGTCCTTGGACGTCTGGGGTCTCCTGGGGCCTCTTGAGGGGCCTCCTGGGGGCCTCCTGGCGGCCTCTTGGGGCGGAAGGCTCGAGCTTGCGGTTCGTGGTCCCCCTCTGGGCCCCCTCTTGGGCCCGTCTTGGGGCCCTCTTGGGCCATCTTGGGCGCCTCTTGGGCCGTCTTGGGGCCCTCTTGGGCTGTCCTGGGGCCCTCTTGGAAGCTTCTTGGGCCGTCTTGGGGCGGTCTTGGGCGCCTCTTGGGCCGTCCTGTAACGTCGGAAAGCCCAAAAGACAACTTTGTTGAAAATGTACGTTTTACGAAGGGAATGGGCCAATTTTTGCGTCTAGGGGCCCTCTTGGGACGCATGTTGGAGGCTTCTTGGGGCCTCTTGGGGGCGTCCTTGGACGTCTGGGGTCTCCTGGGGCCTCTTGAGGGGCCTCCTGGGGGCCTCCTGGCGGCCTCTTGGGGCGGAAGGCTCGAGCTTGCGGTTCGTGGTCCCCCTCTGGGCCCCCTCTTGGGCCCGTCTTGGGGCCCTCTTGGGCCATCTTGGGCGCCTCTTGGGCCGTCTTGGGGCCCTCTTGGGCTGTCCTGGGGCCCTCTTGGAAGCTTCTTGGGCCGTCTTGGGGCGGTCTTGGGCGCCTCTTGGGCCGTCCTGTAACGTCGGAAAGCCCAAAAGACAAAAAATGTTGAAAATGTACGTTTTACGAAGGGAATGGGCCAATTTTTGCGTCTAGGGGCCCTCTTGGGACGCATGTTGGAGGCTTCTTGGGGCCTCTTGGGGGCGTCCTTGGACGTCTGGAGGCCATCTTCAGCATCTCGGAGCCCTCTTGGAGGCCTCTTGGAAGTTTCTTGGGCCGTCTTGGGCGCTCCTGGGGCCGTCTTGTCTGACCGGGGAGGCCTCCGGCAAGCCCCGACGAGCCTCCGGGCCCCCCGGAGCCCACATTTGTGGTCGAGGTCCCGGCCCCGGGCCCCCGGACCCGGTGCGCCGTTATATGTATAATTAAGTGGGGGGGCTCTTGGGGGCCTTGTTGGGGCTCCTGGGAGCTTTTTGAAGGCCTGTTGGGGCCTCTTTGGTGTCTCTGGGGGACCTCTTGGGGCCTCTTGGAGAGCCTTTTTGGGAGCCTCTTGGGGACTCCTGGGGGCCTTTTCGGCCGTCTTGGGGCCCTCTTTGGCCGTCTTGGAGCCCTCTTGAGAGCCTGTCAGGCCGTCTTGGGACGATCTTGCGGGCTTCTTGGGCCGTCTTGGACGTTGTGAAGCCCAAGATGCGAATCTGACTTTTTATATAAAAAATCTGTCGGAGGGAATGGGGCCCTTTGTGCCTCTTGGGGCTCTACTGGGAGGCCTCTCGGGGGCCTCTTGGGGCTTCTTGGGTGCTTTTTGGCGGTGTTGGAAGCCTCTCTGAGGCCATCTGACGCCGTCTTGGCCGCCCTGGAGGGCATCTGAGTCGTCCTGGAGAGGCAAAGAGAGCTCCTGGAGCCCCCGCCACCGCCACGGGGGAATGAGCCTGGGTCCCCCCCTGGGCCTGGAATGCCCGCCAGATGTGTATATTTATCCCTATGCATATACATGTTTACATACCTGCATGCATGCATGCATGCATGCATACATATAGACAGACAGGCAGACAGACAGACAGACAGGCAGGCAGACGGACAGACAGACAGACAGACAGACAGACAGACAGACAGATAGACGTGCATACTTACAGACAGACACACAGACACACAGACACACAGACATCTATACCTAGCATTTTTCGTCCTCCGACGATTGCCGTGATGAGGGGAACGGGTCATCCAGGAAGAGGACCGAACCCCAGGCCATCCCAGACGTCAGGCGCTTCGAAGTCTTCGATGCGAGGGCCCCTAATTAGGCCCCTCGATCCCTTCCCCGGGGCCGGCTAGACATGCATGCCGAGTCGTTTTGTTGACAGCCCCGCAGCCCGACACTGTCCTCCGCAGGCCAAACATGACGAAAAAAGGGCCGCCCCGATGTTTGTCGACGCGCCAGGTGCCTCGGGACTCATCCTGAGCAGCTCTTCGTGTCGGACGAGAGGAAAGGCGAGGGGGCGTCGCGAATCAGCGCACGTAGCTGGCTTCCTCGACGCCGGAGGCGCCCGTGCACCCAGGAAAAAGCGCACGCGGCGGGGCCGAAGCCAGCTGCAGACAGCAGTTTTCCCCCGCCAGGCGGATGGACAACAAAAAGTAAATGATTGTCAAATTGACTACTCATGATGGGCGTGTTTTCCACCACCACCACCATAAGTTGCAGGGGGGGGTCCTCCTCCTCCTCCTCCTCCTCCTCCTCCTCCTCCTCCTCCTCCTCCTCCTCCTCCTCTTCGCCCTCCTCCTTCCCCCCTCCAACTTATGGTGGTGGTGGTGGTGGAAAACAGGCTCATCAACTCAGTCAGACTACCTTTGACTATGTTTGACTACTCCTCCTGTGGAGGGGCATGCCCGACTGCAGTGTCGGCCCCCCCGTCCTCCGACCCGACCTCTCTGGACGGCCCTGCAGGCCAGCGGAGGGCCCCGGGAGCCCCCGAGAGCACGCCTCCCGCCACAGACCGAGGCCCCCGGCGCCCGCCTCGACGCCAGAGGCTCGGGTCGGGCGAAAGGGGGGGATAGCAAAGCGGGGGTTTGAGAATCAGCTCACGTAGCTGATTTTCCCGGCGCCTCCCGGCGCCGGAAGCGCCCATGTATCGAGGAATGGGCCCCTCGGTGAGGCCGAAACCAGCTGCATGCAGCAAATTTCGTAACCCCCCCTTTCCCAATCCCCCCCTTTCGCCCGGCCCGAACAGACCGAGGCCCCCGGCGCCCGCCTCGACGCCAGAGGCGGCCACGAGGGGGGAACCACGAGGGGGGGGCCGGCTCAGGGGGGAGAGACGTCGACCTCGGCACCGGCGACGCCTCGCCGATGGATCGGCGACGGGGCCCCCGACTGCGAATCCGCACGCTCCTCCTGGAAGCTGGGCGAGGGCTGGCAAACCCGCGGCTGCTACAACGGTCCTCCCGGGAGAGAAAGAAACAAACTCCCGAGAGCACGCTCAGCGCACCGAAGAGTAAACGGGCTGCTTCCGGAAGAGAAACAAAAACAACTTTCTGGAGCTCTGTTTTAGCATCAGGTCGGGCATGTCTCCCTACAGCCGGATTTTGGATGAAAAACCATATGTATGTATATATATATATATATATACACATAAAAAAATACTCCAAAAATCATCCCCAGACTATTTGTTGCACTATTTCTGAATATTCCCCCTGTGGAGGGACACGCCAGACTTACATTTAGCAGCCACGGGCTTGCCTTGAGTCGGGCGCGTCCCCCTACAGGGGGATTTTCGACCAAAAATAGAGAATACCCAAAAAAAACCCAAAATGGCCAACAAATGCTCAAAAAGTAGTCCCCAGCCAATCTTTTGACTATTATTGACCGTCCCTCCTGTAGAGGGACAGGCCCGACTTGAGGCTTGCCAGCCTTCGCGCGGCTTCCGATCCTCGGCGGGGTGGGCGATCGGGCCCCCATCATCGGCGCGCCGGCGATGCCGGGGCGATCCGAGGTCGACGTCACTGAAAGGGCCCCACGGGGCACACGAGTCCATGCACACCAATACAAGGATGCTCCACATGTTCCCATAGTTTCGGGGTCTCGTCTTCCCCCCCACTGCCCATAGTTTTCCAGATTTCCTGGGTGTCTGTCTTCCCCCCCGCTGCCCATAGTTTCCCATCTTTTCTGGGGAATCGACGATTAATTGTGTCTGCGTGCTTTTTCTCCTCCTGAGTCATCCCTGAGGGCAGACATCGGCGGCGAGCGAGGGGAGGGGGGGGGCACGAGAAGGAGAAGGCCTTCTGTCGGGGGGAACGACAGGGGGGGATCTCACGCAGCTGACTTTCGTAGCGCCTCCCGGCTCAAGGAGGCGCCCATGTATCGAGGAATGGGCCTGGCGGCGGGACCGAAACAGGCTGCATGCAGCAGATTTCGTACCCCCCCTTTCCCTATCCCCCCCCTCTCGTTCGGCCCGATTCTCAAAGGCTGCGGGGCTTCTCGGGAAGCCTCCAGCCGTCTGAGAGGTTCTCTGCGTCTTCGGGGGAGGCCTGGGGAACTTCTCACAAGGCCGGGGGACGTCCGAGCCCTCTGAGAGCAGACAATCGCGGTCCACCACTCGCAGAGCAACTGCTCGCAATTGGCCTGGATCCGCCATGGGGGATCGACGATACGTCACATCGATGCAGACACGCGTTTGTTCTCGGACGTCTGCGAGTAGGCACTTGAAGAGAGGAGGGACGCGCTCGGGGAGAGAAAGGCCTCTCCTTCTCACTTCCCCCCCAGGCGCGCCGCCGAAGACCCCAGACTTAGGTCGGGCGTGTCCCCCTACAGGCGGGTTGTGGACTAGTTTTGACTAGATTCCTTCTGTGGAGGGACAGGCCCGACTTAACCCCAGACATCCGACGTCCCCAGTTTCTCGAGACACGGGCCCCCGACCTCCCGACCACTTCCCCGGGACCAGCTCTTCATCCCGGCTCGTTTTGCTGACGGTCCCGAGGCCCGGCGAGGGCCCAGAGAGGTCGAAAACGACGAAAAACCTCCGTACCGATGTTTTCGACGCGCCCGATGTCCGGGGTCCTTCTGTTCGCGCTGAGCTCTGGGGTCACTTTGCATGGTTTCCCCTGGGGCCGCAGGCGACCCGAGGAGGAGGAGGACTAAATGGGCTAAATGTTGAACGACTCAGGGTCGTGCTGGAGGAGCCTGCACGGCGCCGAGGAAGAGGAGGAGGAGGAGGAGGAGGAGGAGGAGGAGGAGGAGGAGGGGGAGGAGGGGGAGAGGGAGGAGGAGGAGAAGGAGGAGGAGGAGGAGGAAGAGGAGGAGGGAGGAGGAGGAGGGGTCGCCTAAGCCCTTCGGAGAAACTCTCCAGGTCGAAACCGACGCAAAACCTCGATTTGTTCGAGGCGCCCGAGGTCTGGGACATCCGCTTCCCCTCAGGCAGCTGCTGCCTTCACCGAGACCCCCCCCAAAACGTTTCGGAGGCGACGATAGGGGCGAATAGCCCAGGGGGGAGCAATACATGCATCCAAGGGTGCCGATGATCTATGTCTTCGACAAGGCTCCCGGCCGAATGCGTGTAATGCCCGCCCATGGGCTATTCGCCCCTATCGTGAAGTCGGGCGTGTCCCCCTACAAGGGGATTTTCTAAGAAAAATACAAAATCCGCCGACCCTGTCGGCGTGTGTGAGGGGCTTTTCCGTTCGAGCCGTCATCTCCGTCATTCTTTGTACTCGTCGTCTCTGTCCTTCCCTTTCCCTGGGAGACCTCTTCCCCTGGGCTCCAGCCAAGCCGACCTTGAGCAACCTCGTAATTGAGTCGAAGGGAAGCCCCTTCCCTTTGATCCCTCCCCCGCCGGGAGGGGGGGGGGGGGTAGCGACCCCCCCCCCGGGTCAGATACGACGCCCCCCCTGGGACTCCTCTTCCCCTGGGCTCCAGCCAAGCCGACCTTGAGCAACCTCGTAATTGAGTCGAAGGGAAGCCCCTTCCCTTTGATCCCTCCCCCGCCGGGAGGGGGGGGGGTAGCGACCCCCCCCCCGGGTCAGATACGACGCCCCCCCCTGGGACTCCTCTTCCCCTGGGCTCCAGCCAAGCCGACCTTGAGCAACCTCGTAATTGAGTCGAAGGGAAGCCCCTTCCCTTTCATCCCTCCCCCGCCGGGAGGGGGGGGGGGGTAGCGACCCCCCCCCCGGGTCAGATACGACGCCCCCCCCTGGGACTCCTCTTCCCCTGGGCTCCAGCCAAGCCGACCTTGAGCAACCTCGTAATTGAGTCGAAGGGAAGCCCCTTCCCTTTGATCCCTCCCCCGCCGGGAGGGGGGGGGGGGTAGCGACCCCCCCCCCGGGTCAGATACGACGCCCCCCCCTGGGACTCCTCTTCCCCTGGGCTCCAGCCAAGCCGACCTTGAGCAACCTCGTAATTGAGTCGAAGGGAAGCCCCTTCCCTTTCATTCCTCCCCCGCCGGGAGGGGGGGGGGGGTAGCGGGGGGGGTAGCGACCCCCCCCCCGAGTCAGATACGACGCCCCCCCCCCGTACCGACCTTGAGCAACGTCGTCATTGAGTCGAAGGGAAGCCCCTTCCCTTTCCCTTCCCCGACGGGGGGGGGAGAGGAGGTCCCGGGGGGGGTCCCGGGGGAGTCCCGGGGAAGTCCCGGGTCAGATACGACACCTCCCTCCCCCACCTTCTCGTCCTTCTCCCCGTTCCCCCAAACCATCCCACAGCCCGTGCCTCTTGCTGCGCGTTGCGAACAGGGTCGGCGGCACCGGCCGTCAGGCCTTCGCGATACCCCAGAAATATCCCGAAATGGTGAAAAAATACTCACAAAATAGTCCCCAGACTATTTTTTAACTATTTTTTATACTCCCCCTGCAGAGGGACAGGCCCGACTTCACCCTATCGTCGCCGCCGAACGTTGCCGCTGGCGGCGGCGGCTGAGCGCGGCTGGCGCACGAGCGCGCGCGCTCGCGCACGAGCGCACGAGCGCGCCCCGCTCGAGCAGGAGGTCGACTGCAGCATCGACGTGCCCCAGACTTGCGTGTCGCAAACCAGCACGAAACCTCCTCCTCCTCCTCCTCCTCCTCCTCCTCCTCCTCCTCCTCCTCCTCCTGCAGGGTGCTCGCAAAAATCTGCGAACACCCTGATGGGTTCCGTGGAAGAAACAAATCTTATCCCGGGAGACTCCTGGACAACTTCCCGCACAACCCAGACAACCCCTCAAGGATCCGGACCGCCCGGAGAGCCCTCCAGACAACCACGCAAGGATCCAGACAACCACCCCCCCTGGACAACCCCCGTTGGACACGCCTCCCCAGGATTTACCCCCGTAAGATATGTGTTTCTTTGTTCGCAGACCAGGCGAAGGGAGTCGCCCTGAGTCCTGAGTGGATGTCTGACTGACGGTCCTGGGGCCTGTGCAGGGCCCCGAGAGCCCGACAATGACGAAAAACCTCAGGACCCCCTTCCTGGCCATCGCTCGGACGTCCATTCCCTGTGTTTTTGTTCGGTTTCGTGCGTGGTTTTTCGCCAAATGATCCAGGATGCTCCTCGATGGTCGTCGCCGAAGGAAAAATGCACACGTCCGAGCGATGCCAAGTTTCCCTCAGGACCCATCTCCTCCATGGCGATGTCCTAGATAGGGTCTAAGTAGATGGGGTCGGAGGATCGAGCCACATCGCCAGTGCATCGGCAATGCGTCGGCGATGCATCAGCGACGTCAGGGACGCATCGGCGAAGTCGGCATGGAGAAAATCGGGCTCCGCATCGAGCCGCATCGCAGATGCATCGGCGATGCGGCGAGATCCTCCGACCCCATCTACTCCGACCCCACCAAGGAGGCCTAGAGATGTTTCGTGGACTCGACAAAGCAAAAGCCACTCTTGATTAGGCGTTAAGAACCCCTGACCCTTTGGGAGGCGACCTAAGTTAGGAGGAATAGGAACGTTAGCGATAGGGGGCCTTCTCTGCAGATGTCTCAGGCCAAACCGCCCAGAAGAATTCCCCTAATGCGAACCTCTGTCGCTGCCCCTGGCGCGCTCCACGCGCCAGGGAGGGGGGGCCAAGAAATCCGCGTGGAACGTCAGAAGTTTATGTTTATGCTGTTTTGTTCTCCTTCGATTCATCGCGTTACTAGGGGGTTATGTTGTTCGCGATGAACTCTAGGGTAACTTCTGGAACTACTTCCCCAGGACCAGTTGTCCGTCCCGAGTCGTTTTCTGACGGTCCCGAGGCCCGGCGAGGGCCCAGAGAGGCCGAAAACGACGAGAAACCTCCGTCCCGTTTTTTGCGACACGCCCGATGTCTGGGGTTCTTCTGTTCGCGCTGAACTCTGGGGTCACTTTGCACGGTTGCCCCCGGGGCCGCAGGCGACCCGAGGAGGAGGAGGAGGAGGAGGAGGAGGAGGAGGAGGAGGAGGAGGAGGAGGAGAAGGAGGAGGAGGAGGAGGAGAAGGAGAGAGGAGGAGGAGAGGAGGAGGAGGAGGAGGAGGAGGAGGAGGGGAGGAGGAGGAGGAGGAGGGGAGGAGGAGGAGGAGACGCCGCCGCCCTAGGCACAGCGCCAGCGCCGAGGCCACGCACGCCAGGCACGCCGCGCCTCCGCGGAGGGCGCGGAGGGGCGCCGCGGGCCGCCGCTCGCTGGCGATCGCGCACGAGCCCAGACACGATCGCGTCGTAAAACAACAGAGCACAAAATAATAATAAAAAAAGAAAAAAAAAAACAACAATATATATATATATTGAAGAAACAAACAACAAAAAAAAACAAAAAAAAAAAAAAAAAAAAAAAAAAGGCGGGAGGTTTTCGTCCGTTTTCGGGCTCGGGGGGGAAGAAAGGAACCGGTTTTCGTCCGTAAGAAAGGACCGGGGATGAGAAGCCGGTCCAGGGGAAAGGATCGGGACTACCAGGGACCCCGTATTTGAAAACATCAGGACGTCGCAGGATAGGGAGGGGGTCGGGGGGGGGGGAAGGCTTCTTAGAAGCGCCCCTGTGTCTTCGAAGGCGCGGGCACTACATCTACAGACAAGGCCCGCGCCTTCTAAGAAGCAGGGGTGCTTCTAAGAAGCCTTCCCCCCTCCCCCGACCCCCCTCTCCTCTGCACGTGGCCGGCGACCGCCGGCCGCCGGTCGTCGGTCGCCAGTCGTCGAACGCTGGTCGCCGGTCGCCAGTCGCCTGTCGCCGGTCGCTGGTCGCCGGTCGCCGGTCGCCAGTCGCCAGTCGTGGGTCGTCGGTCGTCAGTCGTCCAGTCCGTCCCGTCCGTCGACTGCAGTTGGCGTTTCAAGCCTCAGTCCGTCGCCAGGTGTCGTCGCTGGTCATCGGTCCCCAAAGCGCTGGTCTTCGGTCGGCGGTCGTCAGTCGCCGGTCATGCGCCGTGGCTCGAGACCTTCAGAAGGACGCCAAGAAACACACCCACACCGATCCTGGGTCCAGGATTGGCCTGGCCAGAATCGGTGCTGGTGTATAGTTGACGCTCTACGAGTCTGGGCGGCGCGCGAGATGGAGTGGGCCGGGAGAGACGGCCTCAAGGTGCAGGAGGGTCTCTTGGAAGGGTACAGAGGCGTCTGAGAAGACCGAGAACAGAAGGATTCTCAGGAGGCCCATGCACCGTACCATGATTGGATTCACTCTCCAACGCGGTACGGTGCATAGATTTTCGGCTCTGGCGGCCGAAAAACTGTGCACCACTGTTCACCGTACCGTTCCCGGGTTGATGATCGAAGACGCCTCAATAGAGGCCGGCGCGGTACGGTGCACTCAAGTCGTCCGCGGCTTCTCAGAGGTGCCCTCAAGGTGCAGGGGGGCCTCCTGGAAGGGCACGGAGACTTCTGAGGGGACGAAGGGCACAAAGGGCACGGTCATCGGCCTGACCCAAGGAACGATGAATAAGGAACGAAGCCATTGTTTTTCCCAAGGCATAACCCATGAGGAACGATGGATGATAACCCACGCACGAGGAACGATCCACAACGCATGCAGACCTAAGGAACGACCGAGCCCCTTTTGAAAAGCAAGCGTTCCTTACGCAAGCCGCCCACTGCACCAAGTTGGAAGCTCGTTCTGGGGACCTTCCTGGAGCCACTCGCTCCACTCGTGCGTCGAAGCTGCGTCGAACGCCAGTCGATTTGGGTCGACCCTGAGTCGAACCTGAGTCGAACCTGAGTCGAACCTGAGTCGAACCTGAGTCGAACTTGAGTCGAACTTGAGTCGAACTGGGGTCGAACAGATCCGTTAGGTGGGCTCCCGGAAGGTCCCCGAAACGAGCATCGAAACCAAGGGTGCGAAGGGGACGGGCCTCGGGAGGCCACGGGCCTGCCTTCCCCGAGGGGCCCCCCCGAAAAACGCCGCCGCCCGGGGCGCGGGGCTGGGACGGCAGCGGGGCCGGCCGCGGGCAGCCAACTGCCAGGCGGATGCCGGGCGCGTGCCCGGCATGCGCGGGCGTGTGCGTTACAACGCATGCAGCAGAACCTCACACCCACACACGAGGGGACCTGCACATGCATGCACGCAGCAAAGCACGCGGGGGCAGGGCGGTTTCCATGCAGCGCGATACCATGCATGCAGCAGGGCATCATGCGTTATATAATGCATGCCGCACAAAACACTCGAACCCAAAATGCGTTAAAATACACATGCATGTGCACAGAACCCCGCACATGCCCGGGCACGTGCGCACAGCAGGGCATTCATCCAGAAGCGCCCGCACGTGCCGGGCACATGCCTGCCACATGCTGCGCACATGCCCGCACATGCCCGCGCAAGAACGGCCGCACGTACACCCACCCAGGGGTATAGAGAGGCGAGCGCGGTGTACCTTACTCCAGGAGGCGCGGTGAGGATGCGCGGGCCTCGGAGGCCGAAGGCCACGAGGAGCCTCCGTCCCGACCTTGTTCGAGACGCCCGACGTCTGTGAAGGGGAACTGGGACACACAAATAAATAAACACAAATAAACATATCCCCCATATTTTCCCATATTTTCTGGGTTTTTGTCTTCCCCCCCACTTCCCATATTTTCCCATATTTTCTGGGAATCGCTGATTAATTGTGTCTGTGTGTTTCTTTCCCTCCTGAGTCTGGGGCACCCTTGGGAAGCTCGCCCATCCTCGTTTGCCGGCGGTGGACAAACCTTCCTTTAGTAAACCTCCCCTCAGTGAAATCGTCCTGGGGCCGAAACCGACGGCCCGGCCGCGACGCCCTCTCGCCTCTCGCGAACCGAAAACGGCCAATTCCTCCATCGACGTGTCAGGGTAGGAGGTCTGTCCACCCCCGAAGTTGGCGGGTTGACTGCACGGGGGCAACAAAAAGAGAACTCCAGCGCAGGCCGGCCAGAGCGCCTGCGACCAGCCGCACCGCCGCCGCAGCGGGGCCGCCGGCCAGCGCGTCCGCGGCGGCGAAGCGGGGCTCCTGAGGTACTTCGGCGCCGCCGCCGCGGCTGGTCGGCGCCGCCGCCGCAGCCGCTGTCGGCGCCGTCGGCGGCTTCGTGGTCGACTGTCGTCGTCATCGTCGTCGTCGGGATCGTGATCGTGATCGTGATCGTGATCGTGATCGTGATCGCATCGTCGTCGGGATCGTGATCGTTATCGTGATCGTGATCGTTATCGTGATCGTCGTCGTCCGCCACCAGCGTCGTCGTCGTCGGCGTCGTCCGGAAACCGGCATCGTCATCGAAGTCGGCGTCGGCGCGGTCACGAAGCAGCCCCCGATGCCAGGCCAGCAGGGGGAGGGAGCGGGAAGGTCGGCCCCAGGTGGCTCCCAAATCAGGGTCGATCAGAGGGGATCAGATGACTAGCGATGAAAGGGCCCCCAACCCTTCGGGAGGCGACCTAGGTTGGGACAGGGGGTCTATTCAGCAGAAGCATCGAGCCATACCGCCCAGATTGACTATCCCTGATGCAACGACGGGGGCCTCGGTGGGGCCGCGTCTTCACAGTGCCATTGCATCAGGGCTTCTTTACCCTCGATGGTCAGAAGTGAAGGGGAACTGGGACACACAAATAAATACACACAAATAAACACATCCCCCATATTTTCCTATATTTTCTGGGTTTTTGTCTTCCCCCCCACTTCCCATATTTTCCCATATTTTCTGGGAATCGCCGATTAATTGTGTCTGTGTGTTTTTTCCCCTCCTGAAGAAGGGGGTATTAGCTGAACCTGAGCAGTGGAGGAGCAAGAACGAACATGAACTTCTCAAACCTTCGGAGGTGAAGGCAGACGTCTTGAGGCGGCGCTGGACCCGCCTCCGTCGGCGGAGGGGGGGGCAGCGCCAGCCCAAGAGAAGTCCGCCGCGCGAAGCGCACGAGGGGGGGCAGCGCCGACCCAAGATGTCCGCGCGGGCCTCCGACAGCGTATGCTTGCGCGTTCCTTGTTCTTCGACGATTGCCATGAGTAGACGAGCGAGTTCCTCTACTCGCAAAGTACCTACTCGCAAATGGCCTGGATCCCCCGCGGGGGATCTACCACTAGTTACATCAAAGCAGCCATGTGTTCGGACGTTTGCGAGCAGGCACTTTACGAGTCGTGGAACGCGCTCGGCGAATGAGAAAACGGATCCTGGACAAAACTGGTCCTTGACCCTGGGGCCTTCACCAGGTAGGCCCCGACGTCAGAACCCTACCCCTGCAGGTCAGACTTCTGAGAGGCGGGCTGGGGTTCAGAACCCGAAGGGTGCCTGGAGCCGGGTGAACCCCAGCGGGGGTGTCCGGTACCCCAGCGACGAGTGGACCAGCAGGGGTAGGACCAGCTCGCGGTCGCAGACCAAGACCAGCGTTTCATCTTGAGCCGTTTCTGACACGCCCATGGCCCGTGAAGACCCCCTCAGAGGCAGAAGGAGGTCAGAAACCTGCAGCACGGCAAATCCCAGACATCTGACGATGTCATTTGCAGTCCGCGGCTCCAAGAGCTTTGGGGCCCCTCCCTATGTGGGGGCAATGTTTCGCCCCAGATTCACTGTTGACAGCCCCAGTTGAGGAATGAAAAACGACCCTACCCTGGGTTACAAGTGCGTGGTCTGTAAACCTCCTGGGAACCCCCAAAGCCCAGAGCCGCCAGGACGCGGCACATCACGTAGGGTTTACCCTGTCAGCGCACAGGAGTTTCAGCGCACAGCGCCTCGTAAACCAGGGTAGGGGCGTTTTTTCTTCCCTTGACCCAGGGCCTCAAAACGGCTCCGAGTGGGCGATATCGAGCAAAAAAACAACGGGATTGAAACATCACATCGTTGGAAATCTGAGTACCCGGCCAAAAGTCGGGCATGCGGCGGCTGGTTCCAGACGATTCGAGCACTCCAAGAGCGCTCCCGGTGAAGCGCAAATGCCGGAGAGCACCATGGGGCGAGAAAGCCGCCGAGAACCTCAGAAAACTGCGTCGGGAATCGGGGAGATTTGCGAGAAGACCTGCGCCCCGAATCACAAAAAGGGGGACGTCAAAAAGAAGCGGTCCTGGCTCCAGGCCGGAGTCCCAGGCCAGCCCGCCAGCTTCGGCGGCGGTCGGGACTGCGGTTCGGGGGAGGCCTGCGGCGTGCGGAGGGAGAGGAGGAGGAGGAGGAGGAGGAAGAGGAGGAGAAAGGGGAGGGGGGGAGGAAGAGGAAGAGGAGGAGGAGGCGGAGAACGGTGATGATGATGATGATGATGATGATGATGAGGAGGAGGAGGAGGAGGAGGAGGAGGAGGAGGAGGAGGAGGAGAAGGAGAAAGAGGAGAAGGAGGGAGGAGGATGGGGAGGAGGGGAGGAGCAGGATAGAAGGCAGAATAACGGCCCCCAGTGGAACCACCCTACATGCGAAGCTGTTTAGTAAACCCACACACCCACACACCTGCGAAAGAAATTGAGCCGGGCAGGACTGGTAAGTCAACGACCACTGATGCCAGGTGGGGGGGTCGGGGTGTTTTGATACATTGAGAGTAGAAGAGGGGGAGGAGGGGCTTCAAGGAAGCTCAGGAGAGGAGGAGGCCGTGGAAGATCAGGAGGAAGTAGAAGGCAAGGCGGAGGGCACAGAAGAAGAAGTGAAACACAAAGGCGAAGGCAAGACGAGAACGAGGAGGTTCAGGAGGAGGAGAAGGCGACGACGACGACGACGACGACGACGACGACGACGACGACGACCGCCACCACCACCACCACCGCCGCCGCGGCCTCGCGGAGGGAGGGAGGGGGCTTGAGGAGCGAGTGAGGAATGAGGAGCGGGGAGGGAGGAGCAGACGAAAGAGGAACGAGGGAGGGGAGGAGGAGGAGGAGGAGGAGGAGGAGGAGGAGGAGGACGAGGAGGGGAGGAGGCCGGCCGGACTCCGCCACGAGGGCGCGAGGGCGCCTGCCGCCTCGAGCGCCCTCGGGCGGGGCCCGCGAGGGGCCGTCGCCGCCGGCGCTCTGCCGGACGGCCCGCCAACGGAGCGGCCGCGGGTGGCCTCGCGCTCGGCGGGGCCGCGAGCCCACGGGAAGCAGTACCCCCCCCTGCTGTGAGTACAGGGAGACGGCCGAGGGGCCGTTCTTGTACGGGGTCCGTAGGTATAGGCAAGGAGGGTGACTGCTTTTCCACGGCACTGCGCAGTGTGCAGCGCACAATAGTCAGAATGCCAACACCTGAGCCAATACAGTTGCGGGAGGGATGTAATAGGGAAGTGGGCGGACTTCACACACACACCTGCTGGAGGAGAGGCAGCGAAGAGAGGGGAAGGCAGAAGGCAGAAGGGGAGGGGGGCGGGGGGGGAGGAGGACAGGACGAGGGCAGGGGCGGGCAGGCGAGGGAGAAAGGTGCTTTCGCCACCGAACGCCCCACTGAGCTCACAGAGGGGGAGAGGCAGAGGGGGGGGGCGGAGGGGCACGGGCCACTGCTCACACACACACACACACACACACACACACACACACACACACACACACACACGCGCGGGCCTCTGCGCGCCCAGAGGGCGTCGCGCGAGGGCAGCGGCCCCAGGCGGCCGCCCCCCCTTTGCGAAGCCTGCGCAGGCTGTAGTCGCCATCTAGAGGACATCTGGCGCGAGTACTCCCGAGAGCGGAGAAGGAGGAGGCGGAGAAGGAGGAGGAGGAGGAGAAGGAGGAGGCTGGGAAGAGGAGGCTCGGAGGAGGGAGGAGGAGGAGGAGGAGGAGGACGAGCAGGAGGAAGGAGGAGGAGGGGGAGGAGGGGGAAGGGGGCGGAACACTGCACCCCAGGGCCGAGAGCAGACAAGCCACCCTCACGGCACAAGCACCCCGTGGAGCCGAGCCGCCCCAGGAAGAGCGCACCCAGGGAAAGGAAGCGGCCAGGGCAGGGCTGCCTCGTAGACGCCCGCGGGGGTTATTTAGCAAGCGCCACTCCCGGGGGTGGGGGTGATTTTTCCTCCCAAGCGAAGCCGGTTGCGCAGCACCCGCAGCAATCGCAGGGGCCAGAACTCCAAGGGAGGAGGGGGGAGGGGGAGGGGGAGGAGGAGGGGGAGGAGGAGGAGGAGGAGGAGGAGGAGGCGGAGGAGGAGGAGAAGGAGGAGGAGGAGGAGGAGGAGGAGGAGGAGGAGGAGGAGGAGGAGGAGGAGGAGGAGGAGGAGGAGGAGGAGGAGGAGGAGGAGGAGGAGGAGGGAGGAGGAGGAGGAGGAGGAGGAGGAGGAGGAGGAGGAGGAGGAGGAAGGAAGAAAGCAAGGGAGGGAGGGAGGGAGAGAGGGAGGGAGGGACGAGGAGGAGGAGGAGGAGGAGGAGGAGGACGACGACGACGACGGCCATGACGATACTCGAACCTCGATCCTTGGATCCTCGAGTCCTTGAACCCTCCTATCCCCGAGTCCTCGAGTCCTCGACATCCTCGACATCCAAAGCCTCGAAACCCTCGAAAGCTTCGAAACCCTCGGAAGCCTCGAAAGCCTCGAAAGCCTCGAAAGCCTCGAAGCCCCCGAAATCCTCGAAGCCCTCGAAAAGCCTCGAGGCCCCCGAGACCCCCGAAAATCCTCGCCATCCCTCGGCCCCGACGGGCCGGGCGCGCCTGCGAGGCCCGCACGGGCGCCCCCGAGAGGGCCGCTTCCGTGCGGGAGTGGACCCCCCACGAGGGCGTGGGCAGCAGGACCTGGCCAGCGGGCGCCGGAGCGCACGCGCGAGGCCCAGCACCACGCCGGCGACGGCGACGCCGACGCCGACGGCGCCGACGGCGGCGACGCCGCCGCCGACGGCGACGGCGACGGCGACGGCGACGGCGACGGCGACGGCGACGGCGACGACGACGACGACGACGACGACGACGACGATCACCATACCAATCACGATCACGATCACGATCACAATCCCGACGACGACGACGACGCCGACGCCGGCGCCGATGCCGACGCCGCCGCCTGATCGTGACCGTCGTCATCGCGGCCGTCGTGGCCGTCGTCGTCATTGTCATCGTCGTCGTCGTCGTCGTCGTCGTCGTCGTCGTCGTCGTCGTCGTCGTCGTCCGCCACCGTCGTCGTCGTCGGCGGCGGCGGCGGCACCACCACCACAACGACCAAGACAACCGCAACGACGACCAAGACGACGACGACGACGACAACCACCACCACCACGCCGACGACGACGACGACGACGACGACGACGACGACGACGGCGACGGCGACGGCGACGACGACGCCTCCTTCCCGCACTATCTCCTGCAGGATGGTTGAACGAGGGGGGAAGAGCACACTGTCCTCTACCCCCCCAGAGCAACTCACGCGAGCGCTGCAAAGTGTTAGCTAGAGTAACCTCCCAGCCGTAGAACCAGGCTCGGGACAAGACTGCGTTCGGTCCGCGGGCGCAAAAGAAGACCCGACGCTGGTCGAGCGGCGGGAGGGACACTCCGGAAACGAATTGGGCACTAGGCTAAGGTCGGGCGTGTCTCCCTACAGGCGGAGTTCGGGCGAAAAGCTTACATACTCCAAAAATACCCCCAGGTAGTCAGAGAATAATCCAAAACTAGTCCCCAGACTATTTTTCAACTAATTTTGAATAATCCTTCTGTAGAGGGACACGCCCGACTTAACACCAGGCACGAACGGACAGAGAGAAGGGATGCGCGGGGGAAGCGGAGCTCGGGACAAGACGGGAGAAGACTTGGATGCTCATTCTGGGGACCTTCCTGGAGACGCTCGCTCCACTCGTGCGTCGAGGCTGCGTCGAACGTCCGTCGACTTGAGTCGACCCTGAGTCGACCCTGAGTCGAACCTGAGTCGAACTTGAAACGAACGGGGGTCGAACTGGGGTCGAACAGACCCGCCTGCTGGGCCCCGGAAAAAGGTCCCCAAAACGAGCCTCCAAGAAGACAGTCCCGCCCGGAGGCGCCTGCGCGGGGGCAGCGGGGGGGAGGGGGGCCGCCCGGGCGCCGGCACGGGAAGGGCTGCGGTCTGCAGAGGCGGCCCGCCGCCATGGGGCTCCGGATCGTGCGCCGCGGTCGTGCGCGGGCAGTGCAGGGCGGGGGGGCGGGCCGAGGAGGCAGCAGAAGTCGGAGGGCTGGAGAGGGAGTCCGAGAGAGCGGGGGCCGGGAGCTGGCGCGAAAGGACGTCCGAGAGAGGCCCCTCCATCTCCGACTCCCCCCTCCCCTCCTCCTCCCTCCCCCTGCTCCTCCTCCACCTCCTCCTCCTCCTCCTCCTCCTCCTCCTCCTCCTCCTCCTCCTCCTCCTCCTCCTCCATGCCTACTCCTTATGACTAATTTCTCTCTGTCACACCCCGAGGCCAGTTTTTAGGCTGGACCAGGCGTTTCGCCTGAAACGTCCTCACCATTTATGACTCTGAAGCTTAAAAATTGGCAACAGTTTCACATATGGGGAGCGGGTCCATTTCAAAATGTGGCTCTCGCCTTAGCGCGGCGCACACTGGTTGGAAAAATTGCAAGAGCTTCACGGATTGAAGGCGGGTCCTTTTCAAAATGTGGCTCTCGCCTTAGCGCGGCGCACATTCGCTTAAAAAAGTTGCAAGAATGACACTGATTGAGGGCGGGTCCTTTTCAAAATGTGGCTCTCGCCTTAACGCGGCGCACACTCGTTCTGAGAAATTCCAAGAATGTCACGGATTGAGGGCGTGTCCTTTTCAAAATGTGGCTCTCGCCTTAGCGCAGCGCACTTTCGTGTAAAACTTTGCCAGAGGTGTACGGCTTCCCATCATCAACGTGTCAGAGATAATGTGTCAAAAGGATTCAGGAATATGCGGCTGCAACAGTTATGTTGGTTCGCTGTGTTGAAAGCCCAGGAATGGCGTTCTGGCACGATTCAAGATTGTCAGGACGCAACAGTCTGGTTGATCCGTGGCGTTGGAATCCCGAGAACAATGTTTTGGCATGTTTCAGGGTCTTCAAACGGTTGTCTTAAAGGCAACTCCTTCAATGGAAATGAACCGTTGCAGGGGTCTGTGAAGAGGGAGCTTGGAGGGAGGGCGTATTCCAACATCCTGGATGACTCTTGGGTTTACACTGGTCCTCCTCCTCCTCCTCCTCCTCCTCCTCCTCCTCCTCCTCCTCCTCGTGCTCTTCGTGCTCCTCCTCCTCCTCCTCCTCCTCCTCCTCCTCCTCCTCCTCCTCCTCCTCCTCGCGGACGCAGGGATGGCAGGAACGGGGGCGGGGGGAGGCGGGGGGGGCGGGGGGCCAGGCACAGGGGGCGGAAGGGGAGGAGGGCCCGGGGGGCTCGCTTCCAGCCCGCCCGAGGACCCACTCCTCCGCGCTGGCGTCTGCGTCCGAGACCTCGAGGTTGGCCAGGAGCGCCCCCGACACGGCCATGCGGGAGAAGTCCTCCGTGAGCTTGGACCTCGCAGCAGCAGGGGCAGCCAGGCGGGGGCATCGGGGGCGCAGGGCGGGGACGCAGGAGGCGGCGGCACGGAGGCGGAGAGGCGAGGCGGAGGTGGCGCCCTCGACGAGGGTTAGAACTGCCCTCGGTGAGGGCCTTGTCAAGGGCGGGATCGGATTGTGGAGCTGGGCGGGGGGGGGAGGACAACCTGGCCGACGCCCCATGCGCCGCTCAGTCTGCATTCGGGTGCGATGAATTACCATGTGATCGTACTCTCTTTTTGGCTGCCGATCGTGCTTCCCAAACGGAAAAGATGGAGAATGCAACATCATGGCACTGGCCTTGCAGACGTGCTGCAGCGGATTGCTGCGTGGACTTCTGCGTGGATTTTTGCCCGAACGGCGAGCGAAAAACGAAGTGAATTTCACGTGGATTTGTTTTAGCATTCATTCCTGGCTGGCCCAACAACAAATCCGCGCGAAATTCACTTCGAAATCCAGAACGAAATTCTCCAGGACACTCCGGGCCCACACTATCGCTTTCCGAACGAAATCCGCTCTACGATGTTGGCGCCATGATGCAACAGCCTCGTCAGTGATGTCTGCCCAACGGGAGGCGGGGGCACGAGCCCCCCCTCGCTTTCCGGGGTTCCCGATGCCACCGGCCACTGGCACGGGCGCCACGACAAGTACAACAGCGAGTACTTCACTGGCGACCACGCACCCCGTACAGTATCACATCCACCCCTCCGACTCCAATACCCGATGTTAGCCAGACCCCAACTCGGCGACCACACCCACCAGAACCTCTTAATGCAGCTTCCACTCGACGGCACAATACCAGGCGACAAAAAGAAGACCGACAACCAGCACCACACCAGTGCAACAAAGACCAGCCCGCCGTTTTCATGAGCAGACAGACGCTACAGCAGCAACACGACCAAGATCCCGAGGTCGGGCTCAAACTAGCAATGACTAGCCAGTATGTTCGAAACATGAGCAATGGCCCTACTACGACCACTCTGACGAGTACGACTGCCCACTCATACGCCCACATCTCGCAATGCCTGTTCAGTATCCTACGGCCCAACTGGCCAAACGACCTACCAATGACACCAGCTGTACTTACCAAAACGACCTGCCAGCACTACGACGACCCGACCAGCAACCACAGCAGCACCAGCAGTTCCACCAGCAGCGACAGCGCAAAACACCATCAAGAACTACCAGAAATACACTGGACAACACCAACCGCCTACCTCCATCAGAAGCCGCACCACCACACCGAAATGCAGACCGACCCCCCCATCCAGCAGCCAGCAGCACAGACGTCACAACCACCAGCTTTGCCATCCAAACCAATGTACACAATCATAGTTAAGCCACCACCCAATGACATCAACTGCAAGAATTGGTTCGCTTGCCGACACCAACAAAGCTACGCACCACCCAAATCCGCCGACCCTGTCGGCGTGTGCGAAGGGCTTGTCTGTTCGAGTCGTCGTATCCGTCAGTCGTCGTCTCCGTCATCCCCTTTCCCTGCACCCTCCTCCTCCAGCCTGTCAACCGTAATGTCGCAATCGAATCGAGAGGAAGCCCCTTCCCTTTGATCCCTTCCCCGCCGGAGGGGGGGGGCCCGTGGGGGACCCCGGGGGGGTCTCGGGGGGGATCGCCACCCAGATACGCTTTCCCCCCCGATGGGGGGGGGGGGGCGGATACGTATCCACCCCCCCCCCCCGAGGGCCCCAGGGCCGCCAAAATTACCAGGGCAGGCCAGGAGCACCCCAAGAGGCCCCCGAGATGGTCCAAGACGGCCGCCAATCGCCAAACGATCGGTCCAAAATGCGATCACGCCCTCCAGACTGCCCAGGAGACAGGCCAAAAGTATTGATTTGTCGCAGGTTTTTGAAAGATTTGGGCGTTCTCTCCTTTTCCGCTCCCCGCCGCTCCAGGACGGCCCAAGGGGCCCTCAATATCGCCCCACGACGGCGCTAGAGGCTTCCAAGAGCGCTCCAAAACAGCCCAAGAGGACCCCAAGACTGCCCAAAACGCCTCCAAGACGGCCCAAGAGGCCCCCAAGACGGCTCTCAGAGCGTGCCCAGACGGGGGACCCGAATGGACATTTCGAGGCCTCGGCCCCGAGAAGCTCCCAGGAGGCCTGAAGAGGTTCCCAAGACGCCCCAAGAGGCCCACAATGGGCCCCCAGGAAGCCTGAAGAGGCCCCCAAGAGGCTCCCAAGAGGCCCCCCAGAGGCTCCCACGAGACCCCAACATTCCTCCCCAGAGGCCCCCGACAACTTTCCCAATTGACCCCAAGAGCATCCCTGAGGACTCTGGCCCACGTCAGCGTCGTCGTCGTCGCCGCCGCCGCCGTCGGTGTCGTCCCCATTCAGGGTCGGCGGCACCGGCCGTAAGGCCTTCGCAATACAAGCCACCATAGAGGTATACTTCTCACCCAAGGCCCCACCACCCACACTAGACGACTACGAAGACGGACAGACAGGATCGACGCCACTGCACCCACCCGATCAGAATCCCAACATTTACGCCGACATGGCACT